GTTTATGAGGGTCTGGGTTTATGAGGGTCTCTCTCCTCGGGGCCAGCGTGGGCTTTCCTCGGACTGTGCCTCGCCCCTTTTCGCCGGAGGCGGTGGGTGTCCCGCAACCGTGGCCTCGGCTGGCGGGGGAAACCTGTGAAGAGGCAGCCGTGGTTCCCCGGCCGGTGCTGTGCTGGAGCGCAGGCCTCCCAGACCCCTCAGCTTCCTCCTGGTGATCCGCTGGCTTTGTGGTGTTTCCTTATTTTTCCAGGCCGAGCCCCAAACCGAGGGACACCGTAAAACCACCCGTGTGCCTTAAAATAACATTTCTGTAAGCACCTTTCCAGCAATCCCCAAAGAAAACTCTCCTGGATCTAATCTGATGATCTGATTCTGTACACTGATATGCATATTTAACTGAATTACTGCTGTCTTTAGCTTGTCTTTTTCATTCCAAATTTATCCCTCCTCATTGTACTGCGTAAGCTGCTGGCTCTGTCAGAGTTTAAGTGGGCTGTCCAGAGCTGTCCAGAGCTCAGTGCTTGGGCCACAGCATTTGTAAAATGTGCATGAGCACTGCTAGATTACAGGATCCTGAGCCTTGGCTCACAGTTTTGATTCCTCTGAAATTAAACAATGAGTGTACCAATAATTCCAGATCATGCTGCGCTGATGTTTCTCAGTGCATCGTACCTGCTTTGGTATTTATTATATGCACTTCCTGGCTGAGGAGTTGAATCAGGCATTTTTCTCAGGGCTGTTGCCAAGCCAGTTTGTTCTCTTACCCAAGTAGTTTCCAGCTTCTTACTTGCATTTTTTGGCTTACCATTGTGATTTAGTGTAATATTATCTGCTATGGAATTCTCCCAAATAAAACTGTTTCTTCCCGTGGAGAGCTTCTAGTGGTTGCCAGTCAACTCCTATAGTCAGAACGATGATTACATTATTTTGTATTGCTTAGTTGTTCCTGACAAAATAAGTGAGAAGTGAGAGGTTGCTAGGTTGTAGCTGAAGTTAATTAACACATCTGCTTGCTAGGACTTGTAACACTCGTTGAACTATGCAAGGTGAGGGTGGGGAGAAGCATGGCCTGGAAAGACAAACAGCAGAACAAAACAATGTGCAGATATGACAAAAAAATAGACAATGAGAAATACAGGACAAAAAGGGAGCTGGTGTCCCAGTCTAGTGGGAACTCTTCCTACGCTCCTAAGAAGCCCTATTAAGAAGCTGTTTTGTATGCAGTCTCCAGGTTTTTTAACCTCTCTTTCTCTCCTCCTGCCTTTCCACTAACATCCCTTCTTTGTGGGAATTGGCTGCCTTTACCTTCGGGGTGGTCTGACTCCTACATATCTAACTACTTTCTGAAAAATCTATTTCATACATTTCAGACTGGAAGAAGGATTTTGTGCCAAAACCTTGTCTACAGTTCCCAGCTATGCCTGTGTTGGCCTAACTACCCCTGCAGGCTCGTAATTTTGCGATGATGAAAGCTATATAATATTCATCCAATTTTGGTGAAGTTTTATTGGTATTGAAAGGTACTAATTTGTAGATACTCTCTCTGCTATTTCTATATGGAAAGAGAAACAGATTGTGTAAGACATCAGTACATCAGTAGAGCTACAGCTACATCCACTCTAGGGGCTATTTGCTGCTGCTTATTCCAAGGTTGGTGTTTCTCCCTGCCCACTGTCGCCACCCTGGAAACGTTAGCTTCTCTTGCCGCTCATCTGCTGGCCACAAACGGCTCCTCCAGTGCCCATGTCTCATTCCACCTCTGGAGGAACTGCTTCTCTCACCCCCCAATGTTGACCAGGTCTGAAGTTCAGTTGAAAGTTGGGTTTGTTATCTAGCCACCTGAATAAATAAGCCAACATGGCAGAGCAAGCTTGAGGCTATATACAGGGATCAAACAGAGTTACCTGACTGGTTTAAGTGAACGTAACTCCACAGCATGGTGGGAAGGGGCAGTTGTGCCCTCCAGTTTAGCTGCATGTTGCCACTCCCACGCGGTTTTGGGAGCTGACCTGTCTGGAAAGTGGGGAGGTTGCTTTTTTAGCAAGGTTAATTATGAGATTGGACAGGTCCTGCATCCTTAGAACACGTGACTGTACAAATGGGAGCACGGTTACTGAATCCAAAGGCTCTGAGTTACATCTGCCTCTAATCACTCATATATATTCTTTCATATGTTCTGCTATGGTTTCCTATCATGTGCTAATTGATTCATTACTTTATGCTAAGCATACAGTCACATGCTAGTCATTAGCAGTCCCATATGTTGAACGCTTGATGTATATCTTTAAATGCCATATCTCCTGGTCTGCCTATCCTCTTTTATGCAATGCCACACATATGTTGCAGACCTTCATTCATGCTTTGATGGATTTTTAACTTCCTGCTTGTTAGTCTTGTATGTAATTCTTCAGTTGCTCTCTGGAACTCTTCCTTATTGCAGTTCCGTAACAACTGTAATTAGAGCTGCTGATACATAGGTGTGTGCTTTAGCTTGTGGTAATACAATGTGTTTGAGACAGGAAGGAAAGAATTTAGCAGCCGGGTTGGACTAGGTGGTCTCCAGAGGTACCTTCCAACTCCTACCATTCTGTGACGTATTTGAAACATCCAGCATAATAATGTCAGTATTAATCCCATGTTCAGGTTATGTTGGACCACAGGAGTTTTACATGAGTTAAAACTCCTTAACTGGCTCAGAAAATGTGACTCTGGAAAAGCAAATGTAGATGGGAGGAGGCTGAGTGAGTTCCTGAAGTCCTGCTCATGAGAAAGTTAGTTGGTCAGAAGAAATGAGTGGGAAAAGATAGAAAGAAGTGAGTATCACTCTTAACAATCCCAACCTGCAGAATTTCAGAATAAAGACTTTGAGGAATCTAGAGCTGCATTGAATTTTTAAATTTTATAGGAAGAAGACAGACTACTTATGGTATTACTGTTTACATATAGTATGCCCCAAGACTTGCCAGAAACAGGTTGAATTGAACACACCTGAGTGCAAAAAAAATAGAGGTTTCTCTGGAGTTATTTCTGCTTTATATCTGAGGTGAATCCATTGGACCTGTAGTCCCAATGTTGATGCAGTTTTAGGTTTTATCGTAGTCTGTGAATGCCCAACCTCAGCGTGGTCTAGAATGATCTGTGGAATTCAGACCATCCTCATTTCATACACTGTTTATTACAGGAACTACTGGCTTAGTGGAAAACAGCCGCACCCTCTCAGGCTTTTATCTTCCAAGCCCTGAAAGAGACAGCTGAAGTCCTGTTGTATGTAGATAAGAAATGGCAAGTAAAGGGGCTGGGAGTAAGATCTGAGTAAAAAGTGACTCTCCAAGGAAAAGCTAGTGCTTACGCACAGTATGTTGTGGGCCAGGAAGCAATCCCGGTAGGAAGGGGGACAAATAGTCTTGAGTAAGAGCTTGTGTAAACCTGGGCTGGGCTGTCCCAGCAGCTGCTTTCTGTACACCGCCTGCTTGAGCAAAGCCAGGCACAGAATGGTTTATTTTCTGCTTGGCACTGCCAAAACTCCCATTTCCCAAGCACGGACTCAGCCTGCAGCATTAACCCTGTGGATGCAGCTGGGCAAACGCGAGCATTGCCCATGTACCAGTGTCTGCAAGCCCTTGCATGACTGGGCTCTGGGTAGTGCCGGGCTGGGGTGACCTGCGTGGGCTTAACCGGGGTCTTGTGCTGGTCCCCAGGGAGCTGTCAACCCCTGTGCAGCTTTCTGGGTGTTTTCTAGGAAAGCTCCCCGCCTCAGTGCCTGTACGAGCCTTTCTGCTGCTGCAGCTGCTTCTGGCTATAGCCCGCCCCTATAGTGTCCTTATTGGATTCCTGGCCGAGGGGGTGTTGCTGCAATGATAGTGCAGTGATAATGCTGGAGCTGCGGAGTGTTGTGTAAGAAGGAGCTGCAGGGAGTGGAGGAGAATTAAACAGGATCACGTTTCTCCTCTGTGAGCTGAAGAGGTTAGTGACTATTCCTTAACCCCTGCTAACTGTAATTAGGATTTGGAAACACCGCTTTTGTCTTCTGACTCCCCCTCCACCCGTCCCAAGATTGCTTGCCACCAGCATGTCCCGCTTGGTTATGATGGAGTGAGGGAGTCCTGCAAGTCACGTTGTCCTAGCTGCTCCAAAGACACCCACAACATGAGGGGAGGGGGGAAAAGAGAGAAAGAAAAAAAAAAAAAAATAGACGACCTTTGTTTGGAAGAATGTCCAAGGTGCAGTGAAGCAGAGTATGAGCTTGTAAATGATGTGGAAGTAGCCAAGTAGCATCATTGAGTGGCCAGCACACTGCATGGTGAGAGTGTGACAGGTCATTTAAAACCTTTCCTACAAAGTGTTTTCTGGGCTTATTTTAAGAAGTGCTGAGCTTCCTCCAAATCCTGTCAAAATCCATGTTCACTGCAGGTGTTTGACACCCCCGTCTGAAATAGCAGACCATTAACCTTGCTGTACCTCAGTTTACTCATGTGTAAATTGGACATGAAAATATTTTCCTTTCATAAATGAACGTGGAGGGACCATATTCCAGACAGCCTTTGGTGGGAGAAAGGTCATTCTTATGTTCTCAGATATGGTACATAATCCACATGTAAAACACATAGACACTTTATTAATAATTACTTTGTGCTCTAGTCACAGCTACCACCAATCTCTAACTGTCTTAAAAACAGCAGCATGCATCAAGGCTCAGTCTACACACAGAGAAAAGACAGGCTCAGCCTTTATATAACTCTCCTGGCATTGTGCTGGACTTCTGTGTTGGAGCTCGTTCAAAAAACACCGTGCTAGTGTTAATTAGGGCAACAGTTTATTGAACTGATTTTGTGTGAAATATTTTTTTACCAAACTCTTTGCATTGATTTGCCAAATTAATTTTCCTGGAATGAGAATAGTTGTTCAGCTGTTGATTCTCTGATTACAGATGTGAACGCAGAATGACACTGTGACAAAAATCAATAACATTGTGTTTGAGCATCTTTCTGTCATTTGTGTTGATAAATGGGAAAATAGAGAGAAATCTGTTTCAATAATATATATCCAACTTGAAGCTTAATCTTCACAAAATAAAGAGCAGGTAAATATTTAAAATTATTTTCAGCACATATAAGAAAGCCTTAGTTAAAGTTCTACTAACATCTCTTGTCACAAGCAGTGCATGCAACTTAGATATTCAATGATTGATAGTAAAATATTAATGATTGATAGGACTCTTACTATTGGATCAGGGAACTTATACTGGAAGGCTGATGATTCTGGATGTGTCCTGAGTTGACGTGCACATGGTCAACAAACATTTGTTCTAATACCAACCTCAGTTTCTTTAGACAGTGAATTGAGTTACTGTTTGTGAGCAAGTGGAGTTTAAGTCAATGAAGTATGGTTCGTGTTATCCTTAAAGGAATGGCAATGCTCATTTTGTGTAGCTAAAAAGGAGAAGCACTCTTTGTAGTTTTCAACTTCTGATTTTTAGTTCCTCATTTTCCAAACTGTTGTGCTAACTGGATGTTTCAACACTCACTCCTCCCCACCACCCCAAAAAACCCCCAACAAACCAAAAGACCATCATGTTCAGCTCTGAGGCTTCATTTTACATGTCAAAGTGCCAAACTTTTTTTTTAATGAAGAATGTCTGCTGTATCCACAGACTTCAGAAACTAAGCATATGAGAACAGGATGAAAAAAGGGCTACTTTGATCTCTGCCCTAAAAATGAACTGTCCTTGTCCAAACAAATGAAAATAAATGGAAAATTAACTGAGCAGTTGTCAAATTAAAACAGGAATCACTTCCCATCTTACACTTTGGTGTCAGGACTTCAGTAAGACGTAGGAGTGGATTTTGGGCATTTTTGCTTTTTAATGGTGACTCTGAAGTCACCTGGGTTTTATATGGGTTGCAGAGAGGATATTGCACTGTATGTTGTGCAGGTTCGTTGTAGGAAGCTTCGGTGGATGTTTTCCATTACCACTGATGTGGTCCATTGAAGCTCTCTCCGTGCTGCCATCTTTGGCTAGGTAAGCAGCAGTCAAGCAACAGGGGATAAAAAACAAACCAAAGCTGGAAAGAAGCAGAGAAACTAACAGAGCTGGAGCTTGGTTAGATGTGATAAAGCAGTTTGCAGTGGGAGAATAACTCCCCAGGAAAGGAGTTCCTGTGTTTGACACAGTGGTACAGCAACATCAACATATGCGGGAGTGGGAATAAATCTTTCACGTCTAATTTTCAGGCAACTGTAGATCTTTCTGAAGCTTGCAGGTAGTGGTCAGTGTTGTAAAAATTCTTACGTTATGCTTGTACTGCACATCTATTAAGGGAGGTGGCAAAAAGTTTACTTCACTGAGAGGGGAGGGAATGGGGCTTAGGGAAGAAAAACAGTCTGGAAACCAAGGCACTTAGCAATCCTGTAGCAAAAAATAACCCTGAATGTATACATGCCCTGTTGTAACTTAGAACAGATGTTTTTGCTCCCTCTCCTCTGGAGCTAGCCTTGAACCGTGGAAAATGTTCTCACACGTGTGAGGCCAATCTGTTGGTCTTACATCTTGAAACTTCATAAAATAAGTGCAACTGTAATAAAAATAGAAATATACATTTGACCTCTTTCTTCCCTACTAAGCAAAAAGAGCTTTGGGGTTTTGTTTAACTGAACTTAAGCGTTCCCTAGACTAGTGTTTGCAACCCAGACAGAGCTCTGCTAATTAGAAAGCACACCTGACTGGGAAAGATAATGAAATGCATTTGCTAATCCTGTTATTCCAGAGGAGTGCAATCCACCACTTTAACAACATGAGTTCAACAGTTAGCATAAAAGAAATTTCTCGGGGTTTTTTTTTCCTCCTTCTTTCTTCTCGGTATAGCATGATAAACCAGTTAGAAAGACCCTGTTTGGGGCAACTGGTGTTCCTGTTACATTATAGTAACTATCCTAAATGCTAAATTAAAGGCTACACTACGCTGGCTAATAAAGCAAGCCATTCTCATGGCACAAGTATGTTACTGTGTTTATTAGCTTTCCCTCTTAGTGCAATGTGTAGGCAGAAAGGGATCTTTATTGTCTTATTGTTACCTTTGTTCTGTGAATGAGAGAGGAAAGCTGCCAGAAAGAACATGGAATTATTAAATAACCTCTAAATAAGAGAAAGAAGTGGTACAGGATGTGAGGGGAAAAGTTGAGACCACAGTCATTCTAGTTGAAACGCCGTGGATGTTTTTTAGCTATGCTAGAAGCTATAAAGCTTTGTGAACCTTTCTGTTGCTAGGGAGAACAGCCCGTAGTCAGTATTTACTGTCTTTTGCAGGCTTGAACAGAGATTAGCAACAGAAGACTGGTTAGTCTGTTATTTGGTGATGGATTTAGAGACCGTGGTGGCTTGCTCGTACTTGTCTTTGGCGTGATTTGCTAATTTTTCTCAGGCATAGCACAATTGTATGTAGCTGGAAGTGGGATCAGCATGTTTGTGTAGATCTCTCTGCACTTAGTCTTGGTGACATACAAGTGTATGAAGGACTGAGATTTTTTTTTTTTTGTCCCCATTAAATCAGATTCATCAAATTTGGATGGAGAAGGCAAATAAACTCCTGGCTGCTGTTGTCTGGTAAAACTATGGTTCTCTAGTGGCAAAAATCTGTGAGAAACTTGCAGAAAAGGATAAAGATTAATTTTGTACTGGTGACAATTCACTGTTAAGTGATGAGGCTGTAAACCGGAGTGGTACACTTCTGGCATTGGAGGTGACCACAGACTTTGTCCACTTTCATTCTTGGTGTCCAGTGTAAGACAGAGTAGGTCTGGGTTTTTTCTAAGTTTGGAGTACTTGAATTTGCAGTCTGAGTAACCTGGAGTGCAGTAGCTGCTAGAAACAGCCCTGAGATGTCTTAGGTTCGTCATCCAGAAGTCAGGATAATTGGTACCAGTGGCTGCTGGAAAAGTTTCCTCTAGGAAACATATTTTTCATTTGGACTTTGTAATCTTCTCAAATGGTAACAGCTGAGCAAAACTTTGATTTTGAAATCTATTTTATGTTTACTTACTTGCATAGTGAGGTGGAATAGCTATCCTTGGTATTGGCCCAGTATTTATACAGGTAAGACATACTGTCGGTTCTTGTATGCCTGGCATCTGTAATGAGACCTTAAGACGAAGGGCTGTTGAAGAAATCTTTTCAAAATAAACAGGTCATTTTCCAGACTCTGCTTACTGTTTAAAAATAACAGTATTCTGACAGGTGTTTCCAACCCAGTCCTTCCTGGACAGGTCCTAGTGACAACTAGCCTGATCTAGTAATACTTGCAATATAGACACAATGAAAACACAGTGAAAGAACCATAAAAATATCCATATTATATGCTAATATAAATAGGGCTTAAAGTGTCTGGATGGCAGCTGGTCTTCTGTTATAGGGGAGAGAAGAGCTTCACATCCTTTTTCTTCTTGCCCTCCGAGTAGGGAATGTGGCAATGTAGTTCTCTGGCTGCTCTGAGCCCAGTTTTTCTGTTAAGACTCCACCAGAAAGGATGCTGCTGTCTCAAGAGGGCAGAGATGGAGAACACAGTCTTTATTCCCTGCTGGCTCTGAAGAAGGCCTAATTTTGTACCAGGGAAATGCATAATGCACTTTTTTTTTTTTTTTTTTTCCCCAAATGTAAGGTCAGCAGTTTTCTTGTGTTCATGTACTCAGGTTGAGAGAGCATCTTTCAGAAAACGGGTCCCCTGCAGCATACTACCATCCGTGTCCGTTGGCTGGTACCTTCCCAGCATCAAATGGCCTGTAATACCGGAAACAAAATGATACTCTTATTAGAACGTGGGAAGGGAAGTCCTCCTGTCCTAGATGTTGCTAAATTATCAACTTCTAAGGAAGCATGAAGGTGCTGATAATCCTGGAGATTAAGTTTCTTTTGGTTAAATGACTACTAAATGAGGCTTCAGCACTTCATCTTTTGCCTTTGAGATCTCATA